ACCGGAGACCCTTTTTACTGGTAAAGAGGCATTCCATCTTAGTCCTCACGGGTGACAACGCATCTGCATTTTGATTCGCAAACGAGGATAGATGTAGATGTCTATGGGTCACAGCAACCACTTACCATCAGGTGGACTGTGTGCTCGTTTGACACCCTATCCTATATAAAAAAACATCACCTCAGTGTCAACTAGCGACATCTGGTGAGCGGAAGATTATAAGCCCTCATTGGTGACTTAAATTAAAAAATAGCGATTTAATACTTTAAGAGATATAGCCTTTTTTTTTTGGAGGCTTTTATCTTGAATTCAAGCAAGCATCCTTTTACTCGAAAACGTCATTACTGTCTGCTTTTGAGATATGATTTCGATAACCAATTGGTGACTGTTATTAACCGAGATTGAAACATAATGCACCAATGGAACCGGATTTATTTATATATATAGAATAGATAATAAATACATCAGGATGTAGTAGTCCTTCCAAAACAAAGGGCTATATCTCCTAAAGTCACTATTTTTTTTGTCAAGTCACAAATTGTCACCAATTCCTCACTAAATCTTAACATAATAAAATTTAGGATATCGTTGATTGAGCGAAGATTGAAGTCGATACATACATATTATCACGCCTATTTACCGTAGGGGTAGGCAGAGACCATTTCTTTCCACTTGCTACGATCCTTACATACTTGTTTCGCTTCGTCCACCTTCATTAGTCCCTTCATACATGCTCTTCGGCTTAGGGTACTCTTGACTTGGCCTTTTTTCAAGACGTCCCTGATTTGGTCTTGAAACGCCCGCCTAGGTCTACCCCTTCCAACACTTTCATTCACACTCGCCTTATACCCTTTTTTCTTCAATCGTTCTTCATTCATTCTCTCGACATGGCCAAACCATCTCAGCATACCTTTTTCAATTTTTGTCACTAAATCTTCTTTCAGACCACAACGTTTCCTTATCTCACTATTTCTTATCCTGTCACTCATAAAGACTTGGAATAGAACTAAGGATACTTCTTACAATATTAATTAATTCTACTTAACGCTCTGCAAAGCGGACTAGTGACCACTAGTATGAAATAACTTGTCCAATACTTCCGTGTACTTCGCACGCTTGGCAAAGTGGTATCGGATGACGTGAGATGAATCCCCGTGCATCGACCTCCGTTACGGATTCTGCGTTATATAACAAATGGAGCGGATTCAATCTACAGACATTCTGTGAAGGAAATGGCACGTGAAATGTTAATCTAGTTTGTGTGTATCGCTAGAACAATCATATCGGTAATATCTCTAAATTAAAGGGATGCTGCAGTTATATTATGGTTGTAGCACAAATGGGTCGGCTCGACCGGCATAGAACCACGCTCCCACAGAATACCAGCGTGAAATAGCTGCTTATCCTGCTGTGTTTCGTACGGTGAGTGTAGAGAACTGAAGACCCTTTTTACTGGAAACGAGGCATTCCACCTTAGTCTTTACGCCTGACAACGCATATGCATTTTTTTAAATACTAGTAATTTTATTAAACATTACTAATATTCCCTTTAACCACTTGTGGTAAGCTTAAAATGCTTGTGTTTTGTCGAATGGCGGATTCGAACCCACGAACCTTCGAGTTCGCGGTCCGCGCCCTGCCATTAGGCTACAGGCGCTTCAAAATTTTGATTCGTAATCGAGGATAGATGTAGATGTCTATGGGCCACAGCAACCACTTACCGTCAGGTGGACTGTGTACTCGTCTGCTACCATTATCCTATATAAAGGGGGGGGGGGGGGGGTTATTATATGTATATCTGTGTATCTGTGTATCTGCGTGTCTGTCTGTGACATCATAGCTCCTGAACAGATGAACTAATTTTGAAATATGCCTTAACCGAGCGTGTTCCTAGTTATATATCAAGGAAGTCTCTTCAGCCGTTTGAAGATCACCAGCTCTTTTTATTTCGGGTTTTTTAAAACTTATATTAAGTTATTTGGTGAATAGATTCAATCCCAAATCGAAAAGCCCAAACCAACACCTTAAAAAATATGGGAGAAACCGTTAATTCAAATTCTAAATTTCTTTTTCTGTTTATTGTCTCCCACACATGTTCTAACATGTCCGAAGCGTAAAGTTTCATGCTCACTATAAGCAATCATTGAGCAAGCTGTCAAGTACCGTCTGAACTGGTCTGAACAGATATTAATATCGTGGGAACGGTGGGAGCTGGGAGCGGTACTGCCCAGGGAAACCGTTAAATTGTCTAATGAAAACCACCTCTATTCTTAAGTAAGGTATACTTAACTGTAATCGCTCCTACTGTCTAAGTAATGCCTTAGAAAATTACAGGGAGCTAGTAATAAGAGACAGTACTACAATGGAAACTAGTTTGAGTGTAGCTATAATGTTTGACGATCATTGGTTTACTGGTTGGGAAAACTAGCGTAAAATAGCAGCTTAATGCTGCTGTGTTTCGTATCATGAGTGTAGAGAACCGGAGACCTATTTTACTGGAAAAGAGGCATTCTATCTTAGTCCTCACGGGTGATAACGCATCTACATTTTAATTCGCAAGCGCAGATAGATGTAGATGTCTATGGGCCACAGCAACCACTTACCATCAGGTGGACTGCGTGCTCGTTTGTCACCCTAACTCTATAAAAATATATATAGTACTGATATTCTGAATTTAGCTCCGGGTTGGAGCCAACATTTAATGAGCTAAAGTTAAAGTATCAGTCTATTTACGTCCCTGCGTGTTCGCGAACTTCACATATGTACTTCGAAATAGTTTTTTTCTTATTTCTCTGACATACAGGTAGTTTCCTCACGATGTTTTCCTTCACCGCCGAGCACGTGGTAAATCAGCACTTAAAACTGCAATCAACAATTTCATTGGTGTCGGCAGGGATCGAACCCGGGTTTCTCGCGTACTGTGAAACTTTCAGCGAGCGCTAACCATCTACCACGGCTCTTAGCAAGCATTTGAGTAAAAATAATTTTAAATTGCAAGTAATAAAGATCTTTTGTGGTAGAGCCATATTGCAGCTGCATTATGGTTGAAGCACGAATGAGCCTAAGCATGAGCTATTATTTATTCTGTGGTATGAGGCTCGACCAGGGAAGAACCACGTTCGTACAGTATACAAATATGAAATAGCAGCATTTTATATACGTGGTAAATGCCATGTTGCAGCTATATTAGTGGTATAGTTGTAACACGAATGGGTCGGCTCGATCGGAGAAGGACCACACTCAGAATACCAGCGTAAAATAGCAGCTTATCGCTGCTGTGTTTCTTATGGTGAGTGTAGAGTACTCGAGGATTTTACTAGAAAAGAGGCATTTCATTTTAGTCCCCACTGGTGACGACGCATCTGCATTTTGATTCTTTATTAAGGATAAATGTAGATGTCTATAGGTCACAGCAACCGCTTACCATCAGGTGGACTGTGTGCTCGTTTGTCACCCTATCCTATAAAAAATGCACACTATTGCTGTGATTCGTATGGTGTGTGTAGAGAACGGGATACCCTTTTTTATAGGATACGAGGCATTCCATTTTAGTCCCCCGGGATGACAACGCATCTTAATTTTGAATCTAATCGATTATGAATGTGATGATTCTATGGCAAAAAGGATGTCCTAATAAGTGGTCATCAGTGATATAATGGTATAAAAATGATCACGAGTGTTTCTTGATTTAATAAAACATAGATGGGAAAGGAAAACATCGTGGTGGAAATCTGCATGTCTGAGGAAATACGAAAAAGAAAATCTTTCGAAGACATGTGAAGTTTGCCAACACGCATTGGGGCAGCGCGGCGGAAAATTCCTTGGCGTAAAACCCTCTCAGAAGTGAGAGGAGGCCTGTGCCCAGCTGTGGAACGTATATAGGCTATAATTTTAAGTTTAACTGAGATCCGACTGATTTGGAATTTGGCACATTTGTGTAACTTCAATGACAATGTCATAACAAGTTATCATGGAGCTGATCCGGTGGACCCGCTTATCGGACCCAGCAACGCCTATATTAAATCTATATCTATACGTATAAATGAATATTGAAATAACTGGCATTTATTAAGCCCAGGTGTATATTTACATGATATTATGACATAAACTGTTTTTTCTGCCGACTTTCAAAACGGTACATGTGTGTTACCTCATAACTTTTTACTGGGTGAACCGATTTCGATGATTCTTTTTTTATTTGAAAGCTGGTGCTTCTCGTGTGGTCCCATATGAATTTGATCTAGGTCTGACTAATAGTTTTTGAGTTATTGTTAATAATATATATTGAAGTCGGTTGCACGTTTTTAATTGTTAATTTTAACTAAACAGACTTGATTTTTTTTTAAAGAAATGAATAGTTGATGCTATAAATGGTCTTTGATTACCTTAAATTTAAATAACATCACATGAATTGATTCTACGGAGGCGAAGTCGGGCGCGGGTCGCTAGTTTTAAATAGATTCCATTGTAAAAAGGTTAAAATTTAAGTCTTTTTTTTTAATTATTAAGATTTTTTTGTGTGTCACAAAGCACGGTCCTGAGCCACCTGCATCCATCGACTTCCTGAATGTCTCACCAGGTCGTCACTACATCTAGTGGGGAACTTAAAAAGAAGATCGTACAACCAGTGTGTGTTGCCAGTGATGACCCATGACCTGAGACTTGGTCCTTCACTGCTGGCCGGATGAGGACGCCCAAGATCACTCAAGGTCGCTAAACGCGCTAAGGAGAGATCTATGCTTAGGGTTTCTCTGAGTGATAGACTTAAAAACAAGGATGTCCGCAGTAGAATCACAGTAACCGACATAGCCCAACGGATTACTAAGCTGAAGTGGCAATGGGCTGGCCATATAGCTCGAAGAACCGACAACCGATGGGGAAGAAAAGTTCTACAACCTCGTACCGGTAGGCAAAGTGTAGAGTGTCCCCCTACTAGATGGAGTGACAACCTGGTATTGAAAGTGTTAGACACAAATTCAAAAATCTTCCACAGATAAAATATGTTCCAATACGAATACGAAAAGCGGCCGGCTTCAGCTAATTCGTGCGACAGTCGAGCCACAATGACCCCGGACTGGCGGGTGTACTCGACGGCCGGGTCGAGCCTTGCCCGGGCCAACGCGGACCGAGCGCGTAGGCCCCTCCCCCCTCGGCCTATCGTATGCGAGAGGATGCCAACGAAAACTACCGTAAGTAATGGTATATTTCACGTTTTTAATAGAATAAGGTTTACAAACAAGCACATAGTCCATTTGATGGTAAGTGAATACTGTGGCGCATTGACATTATACACATTTTCTATTAGACATATTCAAGTGGTTTTGACGGCTCCGTGGATCAGTGGCTTAGCAATGAGTTGTTACGCCGGAGGCCGCGGGTTCGAATACCGCACGGAACAACTATTTGTGTGGCCTACAAATAATTGTTCCACGTCTGGATGTTTGTCCTCGTGCAATCTATGATTCGTAAACTGTCTCCACGATACAGTAGAAAATCCTAGTGTCCCCCACACTAAGATTTTCTCCTGTATCGTGGTTTAAAGTTTTAAAAATAAAGTATGAAAAAAAAGATTTATATTTTGTAATAGAATTATTTTGACAAAGGAGCACACAGTCCACCTGATGGTAAGTGGACGCTGTGGTGACATCTACATTGCGTTGCCAGTTTTCACCCCTAAGAGCTAAGATGAAATGCCTCGTTTTCATTAAATATGGTATTTTTATTGGAAACCAGGCATTACTACGTGGTCTATAAGAACAAAACAAATTTTATTTTTATTACGTGGTAAAGCCATGCTGCAGCTATATTAGTAGTATAGTTGTAGCACGAATGATTCGGCTCGACCGGGGAAGGACCACGCTCTCAAAGAACACCAGCGTAAATAGCAGCTTAATGCTACTGTGTTTCGTAAGATGAGTGTAGAGAACGGAGACCTTTTTACTGGAAGCAAGGCATATTCCATGTTAGTCCTCACGGGTGATAATGCATCTGCATTTTGATTCGTAATCGAGGATATATGTAGATGTCTATGGGCCACAGCAACCACTTACCATCAGGTGGACTGTGTGCTCGTTTGTCACCCTCAACCTATAAAAACATTGTCGGGCTGTTTGATAACGCAGTTTCAGATGTCGCGTATCTTTGATGTTACTGCCCATCGCGGTTCTGGTTCTTTTCGAGATGGTCTGATTTTTTTTTCTGGTCGTTTTCCGTTTAATAAAAAAAATATAAAAAAATGTTTAACACAGATACCATTTTAAGGCCACAAACAAACCGTTACTACTATAAAAAAAAAACGTTTTTTAAGTTCTTGCCGCGACTTCACTTTTGTTTCTTTTTATTAAATAATTTTTACAGTCTATTAAACTTTGTGACGGAGTGTTTACACTGTCCGATCCGAGACCGATATCAGAAGACGACAGTCAAAGATTATGTAACAAGCGAATTATTAGGATAATAAAAGCTTTTAGAAAAATGTACTTCGCAAATATCCGCGTAATAAAATAAAATGATGTGTCTTACTTAGTATGAAGAGCACCTCCCGCCCTCCCTCCCTCCCTTCTCTACTCTTTTATATAATGGATTTCCGCAAAGTAACGCCTGATTCTATTAATTATATTAGAATAATAATGAAATTTATTCTTGTTTAATTTCATGTTGAATTTCATCTGTTGATGACAAAAAATTTAACAGAGAAAGATGAGAACCAGTCAGCCTATTTCTCATGTCAGTAGCGATCAGGCCAGCCTTTGAAAATAGTATTTTTAGTGTTAGGTTGAAATAATTGACAGGTGTTTAATCGCCACTATTTAATCAATGAAGTGTCACTCTCTGCAACAAAGATAATTTAAAATTAAAAATATTGTACAGCCGACTTCAATATAAGTTATTAAGAATAACTCAAAATTGGTCTGACCTTGATCAAATTCATATGGGACTACAAGAGAAGTACCAGCAGAATCATCGAAATCGATTCACCTAGTAAAAATTTTTGAGGTAATACACTTAAAAAAAAACACAGTTGAATTGAGCATCGTCTCGTTTTTGGAAGTCGGCAGAAGATTTCCAAACTAAAACCACCCACAAACAACAAAACAAACAAACAAAACCACAGATTGTTGTTGATGCTGTCGAATGAAACGTCAATCTTTTTTTTTTACTTGAATTGACAAAGATATTGATCAGTTGCGGTTTGGCTCAAGTTTAATTTACTCACTTTCAACGCTCATAAAACCAATTATATTTGCTTCACATTAACTAACAAAACTCTACCAGATAATAATGTTGCCATAAAAATTCATACATGTGATACTAATAATGCTAATTGTCTATGCCCATCTAACAATAAAGTAAATAAAACAAAATATTTAGGAGTTACTTTAGATCAACGACTATCTTGGTTTGACCAGATTGAACTTGTAAATATGCGAATCAGAAAACGATGTTGGCTTTTTAAACAGTTGAGATATGTAGCTTCTAACAAACTACTTAAACTGATTTATATTTGCCTAATCCAATCTATTATCACTTATTGCATTCCTGTCAGGGGTGGAGCAACGAAAATTAAATTTATAGAAGTGGAACGGTCACAGAGATCGCTTTTAAAAGTCATGCATTTTAAACTTTTCCTTTTTTCAATCACCAATTTGTATCAATTTATGTATGTAGAGCCATGCTGCAGCTATATTAGTAGTATAGTTGTAGCACGAATGGGTCGGCTCGACCGGGGAAGTACCACGCTCTCACAGAATACCAGCGTAAAATGGCAGCTTAACACTGCTGTGTTTCGTATGGTACCATTTTTACTGGAAAAGAGGCATTCCATTTTAGTTCTCACGGGTGACAACGCATCTGCATTTTGATTCGCAAACGAAGATAGATGTAAATGTCTATGGGCCACAGCAACCACTTACCATCAGGTGGACTGTGTGCTCGTTTGTCAAAAAAATCAAATAATGACTACGGAGAATTTCTTGTCAGGAAAACTTAATGACCGATTTTTGACCACGATGTAGTCAACGTTATTGTAGTGGTCGTATGCTGAGTTGAGTCGACCAGGGAAGGACCAGGCTCTCACTGTATATCAAATTGAAATAACAGCTTAATACTGATGAACATTTTTACTGGAAACGAAGCATTCCATCTTAGTGACAACGCATCTGCATTTTGATTGTTAATCGAGTCTATGGGCCACATCATCCACTAACCATCAGGTGGACTGTGTGCTTGTTTGTCACCCAAATTCTTTAAAAAGATGTGAGCACCCATGATCGTACCGTAGGTAACCAACATTTAATTTCAGGTACCACTGAAGGTTTGGATCATCGCGAGCGCGTCCTGCTTTGCAGTATGCGCGGCGTTGGTGCTCGCGACCGTGGTGATCACCAAGTGGGGTGCCACGGAGAGGTATCCGACGCGGGAGCTTTTCGAAGCACCGGTAAGTTAGACGGACGCTGACTACATCGGGAACTAAGTGCTCGCTGTATATTGCGTAGTGTATACCAATAATTTTTTTTTATAGGGTTGGAGTAACAAACGAGCACACAGTCCACCTGATTGTAAGTGAATACTGTGGCCCATAGAAATCTACATCTATCCTCGATTACGAATCAAAATGTAGATGCGTTGTCACCCGTGAGGATTAAAATGGAATTCCATTTTCCAGTGAAAAGGGTCTCCGGTTCTCTACACTCACCATACGAAACACAGCAGCGTGAAGTTGCTATTTTACGCTGGGATAAAAATTATAAATTGATTCGACGATGAGGATAACTATATGACATGTAACAAAAACCCTGTGGCTCTTGTTAAGTATGTTATCAGAATCAATATTCAAACGTATTTAAATAACTTTACTTCAGAAAACTCCATAAAAATAAATTTTTATTCATTGAGTTATATGTACTACGTACTAGAGAAGCCATTCCAAACAAAAATTGTGTCCTACTCTATGTCTTCGCGCATGCGCGGGAGTAGTAGTCGCGCATGCGCGAAGACTTTAATTTGATATAAAATAAGATATTAATATAAAATAAATATAAGAATTTAATATAAAATATCTTAATTTAATCTAAACAAACATATTTCTAAATAAAATGTAATTATAATAATTATTTTATGGAATTCACAAATCTTCAATTTACGCAATATTTAGTTTGTATGGATTGCACTACAGTTCAGTTGAACATAGTCAATGTTCGGAATGGCTTCTCTAGTACGTAGTACATATAACCCAATGTTTTTATTTAAACAAATTTTTATTTGCAAATTGTATTGGTTTGTTTACGTCTAACTGACCCGAGCATCTATAAAGCAGGGTGTTAGACAATACAATACACGACACTCTTGTTCCCTGATCAATGCAGAGGTAATAAATCCACATAAAATTTATAACATAATAAAATTTTAATTTAATTTAATTTTTTTATGTTCGTGTATGGCCGTCCCATTGCCACTTCAGCTTACTAATCCGTTGGGCTATGTCGGTCACTCTGGTTCTACTGCGGATATCCGCATTTTTAAGTTTATCACGGAAAGAAATCCGATAACTCGAAGAACCGACAAGCGATAGGGAAAAAAGATTTTCGAATGGCAGCATCGTACCGGTAGACGAAGAGACGGCGACCCCCCACTAGATGGAGTGACGACCTGGTAAGACATACAGGAAGTCGATGGATGCAGGTGGCTCGGGACCGTGCTATGTGGCATTACTTGGGCCTTTGTTCAGCAGTGGACTTGCGATGGGCTGTAATGATGATGATGATGATGATGTTCGAGTATCATATTTTAATTTAAGATAGTCAAAGGCCATATTTTTTACCAATTTTTTATTTATTTTCAAAAAAATTACGAATTAAAATTATTACTAATATTCCCTTTAACCACTTCTGGTAAGCTTAAAATGCTTGTGTTAGAAGTGGTTCACGACAGTATTCGAATGGCGGATTCGAACCCACGACCTTTCGAGTTCGCGGTCCGCGCCCTGCCATTAGGCTACTGACGCTAAATTACTCGCTATTTGTTCGTAAAGTTTCATTACAATCGGTCCGATCATTCTAACGATTAGCCAGTACATACAGACAAACAGACAGACTTGATGTAATGGCATGTTTTTCACAAAGATTTCTTCCTCAGGAACCCATCTACTACAACCCTCGTCCACAACCGCAACCAACCAAGCCCTCACCAAAACCAACCACAGAAGAAACCACCACAACATCGATGGAAACAGAAAACGAAATCCAAAATCCAATCCTGGAAAAGCTATCTATATTTAAAAACGTAGTCGGCGACAGAGAGAAGAACAAAAAGTCAGAAGAAAAAACTTTAGTATCGAAACCCCAACTGCATCCCCTCCACGACTCGAGCCTCTACCACCAAGAAAGGAGAATAGAGAAGAAACATCAAGCGATATATCCCAGACAGGAAGCCGAGCAGTATCCGAACTTCAAACCGACTCTTCCCGATCTATATCCTGGACACGGTCTCCCGATCGAGGGTTACGTAGCTGGAGTCAGGAGATACGATGATGTCTACGATGAATACTACAACGACGATGCTCTTTATGACGACTATATGCAAAGCAATACGATGACCAGCTACTTAATAGAGAAGGTCCAAGAACTCCACGACTGGATCACCTCTGATCCGGATTTTAAGAATGTAACCAGGAAACGGAATTCGACCAACGAGTTTGGACAAGTACTGAAAGCCCTCAACGAGAGTCTGGTGGAGGGAAACGTGTCGGTAATCATGGGGAAACTCAAGGAGTTGTATTTCGGCGAGAACTACACCCTTGTGAACCACACGAGGAAGGTCATCCGGAGCAACAGCACCGATCTACTGTCTTTCGGGATCCTGACACTGGATGTGATGCTTCTGCACAACATACAGCTGATGGCGTGGGAGAATCAGGTACGTTTGTAGTAGTTATGTATGTGGTTGGGTCACGCTCAACTTAACTGATAGTGGTCTCTGTTTTAGAATAAAATAGAATAGAATGGAATGGAATAGAATGGAATTGAATGAAATGAAATAGAATGGAATGAAATGGAATGAAATAGAATGGAATTGAATGAAATGAAATAGAATGGAATGGAATGGAATGGAATGAAATAGAATAGAATGGAATGGTGTGGATTGGAGTGGAACGGAATAGAATAGAATATTTTTTATTCAATATAGATTATTAATTCGACATAGCCCAACGGATTAGTAAGCTGAAGCGACAATGGGCCGGCCATATAGCTCGAAGAACCGACAACCAATGGGGAAGACAGGTTCTTCAGGCAGCCTCGTACCGGCAGGCGAAGTGTAAGGCGTCCCCCACTAGATGCAGTGACGACCTGGTAAGACATGCAGGAAGTCGATGGATGCAGGTGGCTCAGGACCGTGCTTTATGGCGTTCCTTGGGGGAGGCCTTGTTCAGCAGTGGACTTGTGAAGGGCTAAAATGATGATGATGATGAATACAGATTACAAGAATACTTGAAAGTCATTTATGCTTTTACCACTAGTTCGGAAAAAGCCTCTGTCCTGTAAAGAACGAGCAAGAAACCCAGCGGGACTTTTTTAAACATCCATTTTTTACAATATCATATTTTATACAATGATGTATGAAAACGTTTAAAAACAACATGGATCATCAAATTTTAACCTTTTTTTGATTGATTACAGACTCTTTGGAGTCGAGTAACTGCTATAATTAGCTTGCGCGTGTTCCTAGTATTTACAGGATGTACATCACTATTATTAATAAAACTAGTTTTTTAGTGTTAACGTTAAAGTTACAGCCTGTATACGTCCCACTGCTGGGCACAGGCCTCCTCTCGTTTCTCAGAGGGTTTTAGGGCAAGGAAATGTCCGCCGCGCCGCCCCAATGCGTGTTAACAAACTTCTCATGTCTCCGAAATATTTGTTATTTCTCAGACATGCAGGTGTCCTCACGATGTTTACTTTCACCGCCGAGCACGTGGTAAATCAGCACTTAAAATTGCAATTAACAATTTCATTGGTGCCGGCGGGGATCGAACCCGGGTTGCTCGCGTACTGTGAAATTTACAGCGAGCGCTAAACCCCTGAGCTAACACTGCTGTAATGTGATATTTTAGTGTAGGCACATGAAATTTTCGTAAACATACTGAGTTAATATATTTAGTTCTTTAAATTTTTCTTTAACACCCCCCCCCCCCCCCCCTTTATTTTGACGGCAAATGTAAATTATCAGTACTGGATGTGGTTTATATTAATAGTGATATCCTCCAGACCGAATTTCAGTCACGGCGCAAGTCTCAACGGAGACTGGCCATCTGCGTCAGGACAGGATTACAGTGCACGAGTGTATGCACAAGCACAGGAGCACTCTCTATTGCCACACTCTCATAGTCCGATGGGACGGTAAACCGACACGAGCGGAGAGAGATCAGGCACAGGACCAACGGCCCAAACACCGCCAACTTTTTTTATAAGATAAGATGACAAAAGAGCACACAGTCCACCTGATGGTAAGTGGTTGATGTGGCCAATAGACCTCTACATCTATCCTCGTTTGCGAATCAAAAAGCAGATGCGTTGTCACCCGTGAGGACTAAGATGGAATGCCTCTTTCCCAGTAAAATAGGTCTCCGGTTCTCTACACTCACCATACGAAACACAGCAGTGTCAAGCTGCTATTTTACGCTGGTATTCTGTGAGAGCGTGGTCCTTCCCCGGTCGAGCCGACCCATTCGTGCTACACCTATACTATTAATATAATAATATATACAAAATATATACTTGGTACTAACCCATGGGAATGAGGTGGTCGCTTTCAAGCTGTTTCTAAAATAAATTTTGTATACATATTTTGTGTAATTGTTGTAAATGTAATGACATGTGTCATTCTTTCTTTTCTTGTGACCCGATCTTTCAAGTATTGTATCGTCCTACGAATCGGGTCATTCGGGTCGATCATTCAACTGGAGATCGAGTTTCAGTAGTCTGTGATCGGTGAGATTACTATACTCTTTGGTCGTAAGTTCTGTCAATCGTTTAAACCGAAAAAAATAAGATCAAAAATGCAATGCAATCATAAATACATTGATGCGAGCCGGGTTTAATTAATGAATTATTCACGTTTGACACATATCTATTGTATAACTAGCTGTGCCCCGCAACTTCGCCCGCGTGGAATTTACTACGATTTCATGGATATCAATTTTTGCGTGGAACCCTAATTTTGTTTTTGAGTAATGTTACCATCGTATAAATATTTGAAAAATATTGACATTAATATTTATACAATACTAACGTCACTCAATTGTTTTGCCTTCCCGGAACCCTTCCACTAACACTTAAACTTTATGATATGGTATTAAAGTTCAAATTGATTTTTAAGTATTATTATGAATCTTTTGTATGGGAATATAGAAAAGTGTTATTTTTAGACTTTTTCAGGAAATTTTTTAAATTTTTCACTCCGTAAGAACCATCTTCGTACTTCAAGGAATATTATATTATAAAATAATTAACGAAATCCGGTCAGCTGCTCTCGAGTTTTGCGCTTAGCAACACATTCAGCGATTCATTTTTATATTATAGATTTACTTTGAAAAAAGTGCTGCTGGTTTTCTTGTTTGTTCTTCTCAGGACAGAGAATGTTTTCGAACCAGTGGTAAAAGTGAAACAATAATTTCAATAAGAATTACATGTAATCTATATTGAATAAAGAATATATCGTTATATTGTTGAAGTAAACTTTAATTTTGTGCAAAACGAAGCGATTTAAATTTTAAAATTAAAATCTTGTACTTTACGGGGCAAGTGTCAATGAATTCGTAACACCCTTGACCCTTGACGTTAGCTTAGATGATTACGTAAATAAAATACATTAAATTAATATTATTTATTGAGAGATTTTATCATTTATTGGCTATGTAAAAATATCCACTACCCTATAGAGTCCCGTGGGTTTCGTAAGAGGTGACAGAGGGATACAAACCAGCACGGGTAGCGTGGGCTGTGGACAAGAAATGTATCCCCCGATTATATCCACTGTTAAGAGATAAAATTATCTTGTCCCTATGCCAAAGCACGGCAACGGGGAGAAGTATATCCCCGTTTGACATAACGAAAAGACATATATCCTCCGTCCGTAGCATGGAGCCAAATGAAAGATAAAAAATTATGCTTTTTTGACATTTGAAAGGGACAATTATATCCTAGTTCATTGGACGTGGGTTTCAGTTTGTATTCATACAAAAAATCTAAGTCTAAGTCTATCTCCCATTTTATCTACTGTGAATATTATATCCACCGGTGTGCCCATGCTCGAAGGGTGGATAAAACTAAGCGAGTGGATAGACATTTTCTCCTTTCCCCGGGGATAAAATTGTCTCCTGGCCACACTACTGACAACTAGATTTAAAAAAATAACACGTGTTGCAGTTCACACGCGGTAGACGTGAAACCTTAGAAAATTAAACTTCGAGAGAATGAGACGAATGCAGGGAGAGTTTGAGTAGGATAATTGTAGGGTTTATTTATTATAATATGGTTACCAAGTAAAAAAATCTATGTAAATAAAATGATAAAGATTTGCAATTGTGCGCGCATCACGGAAAAACTACTGGATAGATTTCAATTAGGTTTTCTAAGTTTTATTTCTTATACGCTTGACCCTTATCTAAAAAAATAATAATAATATAATAATATAATAATATTCCACAACTATCAAACAATTAATAATTGCGATATCTTACTTACTTACTTATCTTCACGCACAATCCCTGACGGGGTAGCCAGAGAGAACAGATCGCCAAGTGTCACGATCCTTACAAACCTCTTTCGCTTCTTTCAGATTCATTATCTTCTTCATGCATGCACGTCTAGGTATCCGAGTACTTTTGACCCTACCCTCTTCGAGCAATTTGCTCACATGGTCTTCGAAAGTTAGTCTCGGTCTACCTCGACACCTTTTAATATTAACTTTCGCGCTATATATTTTCTTCACCATTCGGTCTTCACTCATTCGCTCAAATTGCGATATCTTTAATTAATATCAAGTTATTAAAGTTTTATTTAAGAAACTGTACGTCGCTTGCTCTCGCGTTACTAACCCAGATAATCTATATATTTTAACTACAAACGGAGCAACGAATAACATTGTTTACAAAGAAATTTTGTGTTTTTTTGATGTTTTTCCTTCGCACATACAAAATTTTGTTAATACGAAGTCGCTGGTATCAGCTAGTTTTACATATTACTGTACTTAGTACAGACATCTTATACAGACTCCATGTTTTCAAATTTAGTGTAATAAATTAAAATAATATTTTCTTTCGGTACAATTGTTTTATAATAGCGCCATCTATTTGTAACTTTGTACTATATGCTAAATCTCATATCTTTTTTTAGTGTCGCTTTTTCGTTTCGAGTTTCAGATCGCAATAGTAGGTACATTACGCCAGTAGGGAGGAAAGTTATGACATTGCAACCCGCGTGGTATGGATAAGAACGCGCGTTGCGATCTCATACTTTCTTCCCGCTGTGCGTATACTATTTTTTATCATACCTTCATCGAAATGAATGTACTAACTTAGGCCGCGTTCCGACGACACGCACCCGCTACGCGCACGCCACGCGCGACAGCACCCGCGTCTAACTCGCTTTGAAACTTATTGCATATAATTTGAATCTTATGACAAATCAATCAATCTGTAATTGTATAAAAAGCGCGTGTGCGGGTGCGGGGTGAGCGCGGGATCAGCGCGGAGCGGGAACAAGGCGGGCGCGTGGCGTGTGCGAGGCGTGTGCGGTTGAATGTTGATAAATGAAATTTCAGATTTATTGATTTGTCATAAGACTCAAATTATATGCAACAAATTTCAAAGCGAGTTAGACGCTGCTAGACCATTCGTGCTTCGTTCGTTTCGTAAAACTTCGTGGCAAAATTGAAACTCATGACTCTTCCACTAAAGTAATATATTTTCGTTGATCATAGCTCTTGACTGACTCAAATATTGTTCTAACTCTTTTCTTGAAAGTTGAAAAGCTGACGAAGATGATGGAGCTGAATATAAATTGTTAAAATCTTCTCTCTTCATCTTCCTAACACTCTTCACTTATAACAACGAATAATGTCCAGACCGAATATCGGTCACGGCGGCCCAGCCTCAACGGAGACTAGCTTTCGACGCTGGACTGGATTATAGTGCTCAAGTGTATGCGCAAGCACAGCTGCACTCTCTACTCCCTCGCTCTCATTGTCCGATGGGACGGTAAACCGACACGACCGGAGAGAGATCAGACGCAGAACCAACGGCTTTACGTGATCTCCGATGCACGGTGGTGAGACACCACCAACTACCTGACTCCGGGCCGCTACTGAGAACTTCTTGATGGAATAGCTCAATAACTGATCTTCACTTATATCAACCATGTGTTAACCAGACATCGAAAAATAATACTTACTTGGAGAATAGTCTTGTAGATCCTTTTTTTCAGACCATGGTAAAGTTTGCTTTTTAACATTTGGTGTGTATAATTAGTGGTGTGAACTGGAAATATTAAACACATAAAATATTTTGTTTTGATAAAAACATATATTGAAGTTATGACAAATTAATATTCTCTTATATCCTATTTACAACGGAAGTTATAATTTTTAGTTTAGTCTTGCACGGTGGTCTTGGTCTTGCATTCTCGGTCTTGGTTTTGGTCTTGGTCTTGTTTTTGATAGTGAGTCTATGATATTGATATTGGTCTTGGTCTTGAAAAATTGCAAGACCAAGACCTACACAGCTGAATTTCAATGACAAAAAATTAAAAATATGTCACAGGCAGCTTTTTCATTCAACACACAATTTTAAACGTTTTAAAAATTCAGTGTTTTTTTATATAGGAAGCTGCGAGAGTGAAAATGCTAAAAGATCCGGAAGTCTTTGCTTTCAACGCGCTGTTCCTGGAGCCCGGCAAGGTTGAGGCGAAGAAGAATGAAGTGTATCATCACGAGAGCGTTGCTGCGTGAGTATCAACCACCAGATAGAATAGAATAGAATAGAATGGAATGGAATAGAGTGGGATAATGTGGAATAGAGTGGAATAGAATGGAATACAATAGAACAGAATAAATAGAATAGATTTTTTTTATTCAATATATACATAATACTTACAAGGGTTTCGCAGAATACATATTCCGTGACGAAATTCAATCAATGATCTGTTCTAATCTACAGGAAACGCCAAAGCCGACCGGAAACGGCCGAGGAATTCGACTTCGGGAAGAATCTTCTGGAGAACGTTCTGGAGATCGGCATGAGCACCGCGCGGGCCGCTATACACCTCGGCAGGGCGTACAAGAACACTAAGTAAGTCATCATCATCTTCCATCACCCATTATAATCACCACTCTATCTTATTTATGTGTATTTAACGTCCTATGTAGAAATTAAGTCAAAATTATTCCACGCTGTACGACGCATACAGTCCGACTCAACTGTTTTTTTTAAATCTACCACACAGTTCTTTTAACAGTGGTAGAGCCACGCGGCAGCTTTTGCTGTCGCACGGATGGGCCGGCTCGAACCGGGGTGGTACCACGACCTCACAGAAAACCAGCGTGAAGTAGAGGTTTACCTCTGCGTTTCGCTTGGTGAGTGCAGGTGGCCGGAGGCCCTTTTTACTGGGAATGAGGCATTCCATCTTAGTCCTCACGGGTGACAACGCGTCTACATTTTGATTTGTAATAGAGGATTGATGTAGATGTCTATGGGTCGCAGCAACCACTTACCATCAGGTGGACTGTGTGCTCGTTTGTCACCCTTATACTATAAAAAAAAAATATTACGGTGTTGCCGAAGTTTTAGGCAAATTATAGTGAATAACATCTATTTAAATTAACAATGATATATAGATATATTCATTAATAATAGTATAGCGTGCCTTAGACGTGGCCCCGTATCAAAATGTGTTGGGGGGCCCAGATGAAAAGTAAAGATTTTTCAGAAAAGGAACAAAAGCGCTCGCCTTGAATTACAATAATTATATATTGAATATAAGTTATTACTTAGAGTGAATACTCCTAGGAACTAAGCTAGCCAAACAATAAAAATAAAAATATATACTTTACTTGCCTTTTGTTCGGCGAACTTATTTATTAAATCATTCATAGCTGAAGACGATTTCACTTTTTCAAAATTTTCTGCCTCTATTGACAACAGTGTCAAGTCTGATAGACGAAGAATATATAGATGTTCGGGGCCCCTGTAGCCCGGGGGCCCCGTATCACTGATAGGGCTGATACGGCGGTAGCTACGCCCCTGTTAATAATTTTTTTTTTGGTAATGTAAATTAAGAGCTTTGTTGTTGTTTTTACATGTTTGTTGACTGTGTAGTGGCGATGTAAGAATAAGGTGAATGTAGGCCTCCCCCATAGATTGCCTCATAGGGGTGATATTTGCCATAGTTGTAATGTTACTGTTGATTTAATAATTTCACCTCTCAGTGGGTCATGTGCTCCTGGTAGATTATCTTCTATACATCCATCCATTACAGCCTAATAAAGTGCTGAAACATAGACCACCCCATAGATTGCCTCATAGGGGGGATTTTGCTTGCTATAGTTGTAATGTTATTGTTAATTTAATAATTTCACCTCACAGTGCGTCATGTGCTCCTGGTAGATTATTTTCTATACATCCATCCATTACAGCCTATTAAACTGCTTAAACATAGGCCTCCCTCATAGATTGCCTCATAGGGGTGATGTTGGTGGGATGGAGTTGTTATCAAGAAGACGCTGCTGCTTATCTCCTAGTCTGTTTCCCTCTGTCGCCTCTTACGACACCCAAGTGACGATATGGGCAGTAGATATTCTTACACCGTCACTACACTGTGATGTATTGTTGTCACTATATACTATATATAAAAGACATAAAATATAGTTATTTAAATTCCAACAAATAACTTTTTTGTTACAGACTTCTCCTCAGCCAGCTATCCAACCGTGATAACCTCAACACGAACATTCAAAACCAACTGTCGCGCAATATAGATGGCAACACTCACGCTCTAAACCATTTGCAAACATCGTACAATAAAAACGACAGTTCGGACAGTGTTGCCAGCAACAAAACTGAAAATTATACCGATCTGGACTGCATTTGGTTTTTGTATTGCAAGAATTTGATCGCGACGTCCAAACTGAACGCGCCTTATGGGACAATGGCAAGGATTAATGGGTAAGTTCTTATCTTAAAAATATTTGCAATATTAAATTCAGTGATTTAGTTAATTTTGTTTCATACTTATTTAGTTTATCTGTACCATCTTAACTTCCTAGATATCCAATCACTAAGACATTATCCTTCTCGCAAAATTAATCTAGAACTGACTGCTCCATTGCTAAAAATGTATAAAGAACATACGAAAAACTTTCCAAATCAAACGTAGCTATTGACAAAACTATTGAAAATATAATATACTACAACAAATTCAGAAACACAGGCTTATTAACTTTTATACCAAGAATAAGGGTGACAAACGAGTAAAACGAGTAATTCCACTTACCGTCTAATGGTAAGTGGACATTTTGGCCCATATACACATCCTTAATCGATTAAATACCAAAATGCAGATGCGTTGTCACCCTTGAGGACTAATATGAAATATCTGGTTTCCAGTAAAAAGGGTCTCTGGTTCTCCAATTTACCATACAAAACACAGCGGCATTAAGCTGCCACTTCATGCTGATATTCTGTGAGAGCGTGGTCCTCCCCCATCCAAGTCGACATTTGGACAGGGGCCTCTCCCATTACAGCAGAAATCGTCACACTTGGCGGGCGAGCTGAAGATTGAAGCATCTGGCGCAATTTTAACGCGCCTTTGTCGCTGCTGCCCGTCGTTGGACTGTGTATTTTGTGTCTGGCGTAAACAATAGTTATATCCCCATGAAACCATGAGACCTTTCTAGGATTTCTCATAGTGGTCTCTTACGACTAGAAGAAATGGTGTGATGGTGTTTACTACACCAGCACCACATGGCAAATGGTAGATAACAGAAACCTCATAAACTATAAACGTGGGTCATACCACTTTATATTTATATCATACAATATATCTTCGGTCTTGTAGTCGTAAGCGTGACTGCTGGTCCCGTTATAAATCCGGAATCGGTCCAAAAATCAGGTAGTGGGAGTTTCTGTCAAGAAATTCTCAGTAGCAATCCGGAGTCAAGACTTTGGCAGTGTTTTATCACCGTTCTTTGGAAAGCAAGAAGTCGTAAAGTCGATCTCTCGTTGTATTGGATTACCGTCCTATCGGAATATGAGAGTGCGGTAATAGAGAGAGCACCTGTGTTTGCGCATACACTCGGGCACTATAACCCTGTCCTACGCAGATGGCGTCTCTGTTGAAACTGGGCTGCCGCGACCGCAAATTTGGTTTGGACTCCCTCCAGACTCTGGAGGACCTAATTAAATAGCATTTATATATTTTTTATTTTCTCTTTACATATGTAAGTTACTTTAATATTATCCAGGCTGGCGTTGCGAATGCTGACTGGGGAGTTGGCGACGGAGCGTGCTCTAGATACGATGCTGTATGAAGCCCTCACCGGCTGGACCGAACTCAGGTGTCCCCACATGTTCCCCAGGTAACTTGCCCCTTGCAACCCCAATCCTTCATCCCCAAAGCTCAGACAAGACTGAGTGCTGAGTACATTGCAAGTGATACTAAAACCATGCTAAATTTCCTGACACACTTCTGCACACATTTTTCTTCTTAGTTTCGTACTAGTAAGACTACTTGGAATTTTCTTTTTGATTAACATGGTTTTAGATGCATTTATGTGTGTGAGTGCATGTTCTTATTATAAGTTGAGCATATTTTCGACTTGGTTTCAGCGTCAGTCGATATGTACTTTTTATCGTTTTTTATATGTACCCCCCCTCCTCCCCACCATAGATTTACTCACAGGGGAGATATTTCCCATAGAAGACAATGTTGCCTGTTTCCTATTTTTTTTCCCTCTGTTGCCTCTTACGATACCCACAAGACGATATGGGGTAAGTATAAAATTATGGGGTTGGCCCCATAGTGTACTACTAAATCTTCATAATTTCAATTCGAATTGACTTTAACTTTGACTTTGATTTGAGCCTCCTTAACTTGTTCCAACATGAATCAGTAACTTGTCTTTGTATTATCATATTATGTTATTAAAAATTATTTTGCTCCAACAGATGCAGTAAGGTGAACGCTGCGGCTGTAGTTATGGATTCCATTGTGTTGCCAACAAAAAAGTTACAATCCAGTAATAGAGAGCGGTGAAATAAAAAAAAACAAATATCTACTAAATTAGTAGATTTTTTAATTATTAGAAAAATTAAGTTGCAACATTAAGTTAATGCTGTGTCCACATTCGTGTTAATTTTTTGTATTTTCATAAAATTATGAGAGTGAGGGAATAGAGAGTGCCTGTGCTTGCGCATATATTGGTTCTTATAATCTTCTCGCAGAATGGCTAGTCTCCGTTAATACCCGCCGTCGTGACTGAAACTCGGTCTGGAGGGAATTATTTTTATTATCTTTCTATTGAATCATCTCCGTAAGTAAAGTGATTATGAATTACTAGCGTAAACTATATCGAAAACTATTTGAGCAACAAATAGCACGAATGTGGGCATACCATATAAAATTATTTATATATACTAATTCAATGTTTAATATAAGGACTAGTATTGTTGAAACATAAATATTTAACTTTAAGTAAATGTACTTTAAGCATGTTTCAATGTACAAACATATTCATAATATTTTTATTATTTTGACTCTGGTTAAATATTGGCAGAAGATTATTCGTATTTTTTAGGCAACAAATTTTTCAAGAACCATTATAAAATGGCGCTTATAACTTTTTAAAATCTTTGCAAATACATTTTTTTTAATTTTGTACCTATGCATCTTTGTTATATATTCATTTAATATAATATAGGGATTACCATTACCGTTACAGCTCAAAATCCACTGCTGAACATAGGCCTCTCCCATTAATTGCCTCGTAGGGGAGATGTTTGCCATAGTTGTAATGTTACTGTTGATTTAATAATTTCACCTCTCAGTTGGTCATGTGCTCCTGGTAGATTATCTTCTATACATCCATATATTACAGCCTATTCAAGTCCCCTACTGGATTGTAAAGGAGTGATATTTGCCATAGTTGCCTCGCTTGGTAAGCGGCTTGCCAACCGTATATTTTTATTTTTAGTAGTTATTAGGAAGACTCCTGATTTATTTCCCTCTGTCGCCTCTTACGACACCCACGGGATTTATAGGGTAATGGATATTCTTACACCGCCACTACATGATGTAAACAATATGCACATAATATAGAGATTGTCAACTGGAACTTTTTATTTTTTTTAATCATCATATTGAAGATGTTTTGTTTTTATATGAAAAAAGCAACTCTTACAACACTAATGCACTATCCCTTATAGTCTCGTGAACTATAAGGGATAGTGGATTAACTTACGTCGCCACCACACGGCGAAAAATCACATTCTAGAAGCCAATATCTATCATAATTCTACATTTTATATGACTTACAAAGATAATATTTTATTTTTATTATTATAATAGGTTAGTTATAATTTTTTTTAATTTCTTAACAGCTCAAGGTTAAGAAGCTAATTACGAAGCTATTAGGATCTATGCTTATTTACTTTAGCTTTTTACTATAGACTTTTATTTAAGACGAAATGTTTTAGTGACGACTGTCCTGCTTATACAATATAATAAATAATTGGGTATTCAGATTATACGATTTGCATCGATTAGTATCGGATAACTAAGTATTAACCAAACTTAACAAGAACAAGTCAGAGGGCTTTTTGGCGGGAACTCACCCTTGACCATTTGCCTTTAATACACTTCTCGTGTATTAAAAATAAGTTAAGTAAACGTGATGCCAATTTAAATATTTTTATTTTTTGCACACACAAACAATACACATTTAAAAGAAATTATACTTCTAAAAATGATGAATGAAAATGTCGATGTAAATTTTGATCAGTTTAGCTTCCTTGAAGGGTCCTTATCGATTTATTTATGATTTAGTTATGTTGTTTAGTTTTCAAAATCTTATTTGAATTCAATAGATTAACATGTCAAGGAACAATCGCAGCAACGAGAATAATCTAAAAAAAGTATTTCATGTTTTTAGTTTAAGCAAAAGGGCCTGTAGCCAATGCCACAATAAAACCAAAACAAAGATTTTTAAAGTCTGATTTGGTTTAGTAAACTAATTTTACTTATTATAGTAAGTATGTTCATACTTTAAGGGTAATTTATGAAGATAAGGTCCAGATTATAGACCAACTGTATTTATATTTTATAATTTATATTAGATCATAAATTAAAGTCTATGGTGAATTATAGTTTTTAAGTTTCTAATATGTATTAAACACAACTTAATAACATAAGACAGGGTGTCGAAACCTTTTTTGTTATAGACTGATTTAATAAATTTCTAAACACAAAAATAATGTTTTTATTTATTTTAGAAATACTTATAGTGCCACCAACTTATCTGTTCAGGTGGACAAAATTGGAACTAAAGCCGCCATTTTGTAAATGACATTTCGCTGTCAGCTATTATTTATTCTAAGCTATCAGGTGAGCGTTTTTAAAAAGTGTCAATAAAATGCCTAAAGGTCTTAAAAGTGATGCGCGATAGATTATGCTAAAATTTTTATCATTTATGAAGAAGAGAAACGTGTACGAATCCCAACTATACCATTTGAAAAGCTGTAAGAACGCGTAGCTGCCGCGACAGGTTAGTATTGCCAGATATGGAAAGTTAAAATCACCAAATAATGTACTTATGAAACATAGTAAAAAAATTATCTCAATTTACTGCAATTCATCTAAAGTACCTAGCTTTGTAGTTTGTGTTGCTAATGTTCTAATGCCCCAATTAATTGAAGATTTATTTCATAAATTTACAAATAACATTTGTAATCATGTAAAAAAATTGAAAATGAATACAGACTAAAAGACGCGTATTTAAATGAACCCTTTATTACAGTGTCAGAGCGATAGTGAAAGCGATTCCAGAAGATGAATTATTGGAACCAGTAGCTACGCGGGTACATTTTTCAAAACAGAAATTCCTGGTATTCGGCCGCTTGAACTCCGAGATCACGACCACAATTATTTTTATAAAATAAAAATAATATATATAATAACACTAATTCTCAATTTTAATATATTAACACGAAATTTGTTTTATTTTATATTATGTGTAATGAATAAGTTGTTACCTATTTCCTCGGTGAATTTCTTAAATGGCAATAGTAACCACTCCACTAGCGACGCTGTCAACTGAACAGATAAGTTGGTGGCACTATACATTATAACATCATGATGACGTCATCATTCCAATGCTTTTTTTTAACTGGCTTTACGGCTCTGGGTTCTAGCCCTTCTGAGCCTTTAGTGCCATTGCCTTATGTAGTCGCGTCCAAAGAGTATAGAACATGTAATAATAACCCAATGATTCCCGTTATGTGCGTTATCAGAAGCAGTATTTAATTGTATAGAAATAACCTAACTTTAGAAAACTCGACCATAAAAAAATTAATTTAATTGAAATAAATTTTTGTTTGCAAATTGTATGTAGATTTATTACTAAAGGAAAGACGATGAGAATAAATACGCATGCTCCCCGGCCAATGCAGAAGTAATAAAACCACATACAAGGTTATTTTTCAAAGAGTAACCTTTAAACTTAAGTTTTATCTACAATATTAAAAACTATGATAATAAAAAAAAAACTAAAACTAGAAACTTAATTATCATATAGTCCGACTCCCCGCAGTATCGTGCCAAGAACGCTGGCTGCGTTTCCCCGCTGAATGGCTATACTTAGCCTTTGAGCGAGGAAAGAACCAGCCCTTAAACTTAAGTTCAAATATATAAATAACGATATACCATTATTACAGTTTTTGTAAATACGAGTAAATAAAGCATCTACTTTTATCTGAAACTATCCCAAATTGAATGTGATTTAGCAACAACATTTTGTTGACCGATCGACCCTTACGAATGTGTGCGTGCGCAGTAAAATCAATGATGGTAACCTTCCTCCAGGCAAGTGGGCCCTAGGTAGGGTGGTTGAATTGCACCCTGGTAATGACGGCTACGTGCGTGTTGTGACGTTAAAAACTAAAAATGGTTATATGAAAAGACCTGTTATCAAACTATCAATACTCCCTATCATCTCAGAAGAAACATAAGACCAAGAATTAAAGCATGAGAAATCAACGAAAAATATATAACAAAGGAATAGAAGATACAGTTTCATTACAGTTGCACCTTCTATCTTATTATTTCTTACGACCCTTATAACTAATACTAGCGGACTATATACTATAAATAAACTACAAAATAATACTAGCCTATTTTTAGACAAAATTGTAAACATGCAATTGATAGCTGACGACTGGAGACTCGTTGTCTATTATGATCTCTACCCATATTGGGAAGGCACCGCCGCGTCCTCGAAGCACATGGAATACCTAGAAACCATCTGTTCGAAGATAAGAGAGCATTCACACTGCGATGGTGTCATGTATCAATTGAATCACGAGCAGTCGGAACTGCAGCGCTACAATATCATGTTGCAAGATAAGGGCGACCTACTCACACGTAAGCGCCGGGGACTCATCAATGGTATAGGTAATATCGCAAACGCGTTGTTTGGGGTGCTTGACAGCAACTTTGATGAAAAATATGAAGAAGATATCGAATTAATCATAAAAAACCAAGCACACCTAGCCCAGTTGTGGAAGAATCAAACGTCAGTCGTAGAAGCGGAGTTCAATGTCATCAAGAGGGTAGAGTCGATCATGGAAAAGCATCATAAAACTATCAACAAAAAGATGAACTTGAACAATCGATGAATGCACTAAGGTCACAAGTCGCAAATAACTCATATATCAACAAATTTACCTTAGCCGCTATAGTTACAAACAACATTTTGAACAAGTTAAAAGAAATACAAACTTATCTTATTGAAACTATCACAGACGTATTTCACGGGAAGTATGATATTCATCTACTAACTCCCAAGCAACTCCACCACGAATTAAGTGCCCTCTACTCAGATACCTAAAGACCTATCACTACCTACCGATCACGCGAATTATTCAAATCTATACAAATTACTTAATGTAAAAGCACGCTTATCGAAGTCATTTCTTATTTTCGAAATCCGAATTACATTATTAACACGAGACACTTACGAAGTCCTTAAAGCAATTCCCATA